CAGCAAAGTAGTTCAATCCCACAATCTGGAAAGGAAGGACCATATAACCAGTATGATACTAAAAATATGCCCTATGTATAGGAAATAATATTGTTTGTATTCATTCCTAGGAAATTCTTGGCAAAGGCCCTACCTTCCCAGGGAAATTAGATACAGAAATGACAATTAAACATATTGGATATTTATCATCTTTTAAAAAGATTTTATTTATTTATTTGAGAGAAAGAGAAAGTAAGTGAGAGAGCACAAGCAGCGGGGAGGGGAGGGGAGAGGCAGAAGGAGAAGCAGAATCCCCGATGAGCAGGGAGCCCAATGTGGGGCTCAATCCCAGGACCAGGACCCTGGGATCATGACCTGAGCCAAAGGCAGACACTTAACCAACCGAGCCACCCAGATGCCCCGATATTTATCACCTTTTTAAAGATGTAGAACCACTTTACTGTGGCTGAGACCAAGGTTCTTACTGATACTTTAACATTTCCTTTAGGTTGGACTAAGGCCCAAGGGGAAGCTGTAATTATCTGCCACTTATTTGTGTTCGGTAAAAAATTTTACGATGGCAATTTAGTTCAGTACTTACTGTAGTCTTTATTATGCTCTTTATGTAACAGGCAACATTCCTGTTAATTTGTGAATTACTATTAACCTGCACCTTCTGCAGTTTTCCGTGCTTTCCCTTAGACCTCAGAAACCCATGCAAACATACAGTCTCCTGGGCTCATAACTTAGCCTTCTTACTGTGAATATTCACTAAGGGTGTATAACATGGTACTTCAGAACGGGCTCTGGGGCCAGGCTGCCTGGGTTGGATTCCTATTCTGTGATTCATTGACCATGCAACATTAAGCAACTTACTTAACCTCTCTGAACCTCGATTTCATCATCTGTGAGTTGAGGATATTAGTGCCCACCGAATAGGGTTGTTATAGGAGCACATAGAATCATGCAGAGCACAAGTGCTAATTTTGATCTCATTACTTCTCAGCTCTTTACTGCCTGCTCCCCTGGTCACAGGTATAGTTATGGAAGTGCCCTTGAATTGTAAGGCCTGACAAACTGCTCCCTAAGCAGGTAATGCAGAGTAGTTACAGCATGGGAGTGATAAGAAGAGTTAAGATTTCTGAGAGGCCAGCAGGAAGGTCAGAGTATGATTCAAAGTCCAAAGCAACCCACAGTGGCCGTGGCCCTAAGCACCCACCACGTGATGGAGCAAAGGAACCCCTGCTTCTGGAGGAAGGAGTGCAGTCACCGGGTGACAGCAAAGGTGGTAAGCATGACCCTAGACCAGACGGGTGAGGCAGAGCCCCAAGCCAGCTAAGAAACCAACATGGGGTTGGGCTGCATCATCTCCATAATGAGGCTCCTCTCCATTGTCATTCTCCTCTTGCCCCATGGAACCACCCCACACAGCCATGCTGCTCGCGGGCCCTGCTCTCTGGGAAGGGTCTGATGGAAACCCGGCCTTCTATAACATGGAAAAACAGGCCTGTTATCTCAGCGTCTGCGGACTTCCCCTTCCTGACTCCACGTTTTCCGAAGCAGGTCCATTGTTCGGCCTTACAAACAGTTGATCGTAAGAGGGACTTATTGGAGCACAGCACAGACTAAGAAAACACTTAGGACGAGAACATTTGGAAGGGTCACAAAATGTTGGAGAAAGAGGTCCTCATTGTTAGAGTACCTGCTGGGGTTTCTAACTTTATTGACAAATGAATTGTTTTGGCAAATGAAATTTAACATGGAAAGTCAGGGTATAAAACCATGAGATGCAGAGCTGCTCTGTTGAAAGAGGAGCCTGTAGGCCCCCTTGGCTTCGCCTCCCCTCGCCCTGAGGCAGCTCAGAGCAGCTTCCATCTTTGAGGAACCTGTTGGGAGGAAACTGCTCTAGTGCCTGAGGGACAGATAGAAGAAGCATGGTCCCTCCTCTTGGGACCCCAGTATGAGTTTCTTAGGGCTGCCATTACAAAGTGTATAAACCGAGTGGCTTAACCAGTAGATAGTCTCATGGTTCAAGAGGCTAGAAGTCCAAAATCAAGGTGTTGTCAGGGTTGTTGGCTCCTCCTGAGAGAGAGGAGGGAGAATCTGTTCTGTGCCTCTCTCCTAGCTGCAGGTGGTTTGCAGGCAATCATTCGTGTTCCTTGGCCTGTAGAAGCATCACCCTAACCTCTACCTTCATGTTCTCATGGAGTTCTGTGTGTCTGTCTGTCTCTGCGTCCAAATTCCCCTTTTTATAAGGACATCAGTTATATTGGATTAGAGTCCACACTAATGACCACATCTTAACTAATTACATCTACAATGACTTGGTTTGCAAATAAGGTCAAATTCTGAAATACTGAAAATTAGGACCTCAACATATAAATTTTGAGGGACAGCATTCAATGCATAACAGTCCCTGCTGGTCACCTACAAAGCTGGTCACCTACTAAGGGATTGAAGAGCAGGACGGAAAAGGGGATAGTACAGTAGGGAGGTGAAAATAACATCCTTAGCTGAGAAATTACAGGATAAGTGGCTTGAGGTAGCCAAAGGCTCCCAAGAAGAAAGCCAGCCGAAGTTCTTCATAAAGGACACGGCCAACAGTGGAACCATCTATGCAAAGAGCATGCCTGGGAAATCCAATGTTTGATATGCTGCCCTTTCTGCCCCCAGCAGCACACGCAAGATCTTTCTCCTGCTTACAGAGGCTTGCACCTCCACACACCCTTTACAGACTGGCTGTGCCATCTTCATAGGCTACCAGGTTCCCAACAGAAAATACTGATTCTGCATGGGTTTGGAGTTCTGCTATTTTAGCCAGCCAGTTAAGGAGCTGTTTGGCTGTCCTGCTCTTATAATGAAGAGTAATGAGACCAAGGAGAATCTGGATAGCATAAAACCTGAAGAATCCAGGAAGATGGTACAGGATTCCTTCACCATGACTTAAAAGAATCTCTCTGCATTTACAGAAAGTCTCCCCTAGGAGAAGGGATAAAGGTCATTATCAGGGCAGACTTTGGAAAATTCTGATGCCCATGTTACATCCCAAACCACTTAAAGCAGAATCTCTGGAGGCAGTATCTAGGTACCGGTCGCAGTGCACTACCAAGCTGCAATATTGCTGCTTTAAAAGTTGGGGAGGTTTGGGGCACCTGGGTGGCTCAGTTGGTTGAGCGTCTGACTCTTGGTTTCGGCTCAGGTCATGATCTCAAGGTGGTGAGATCAAGCCCTGTGTTGGGCTCCTTGCTCAGCAAGGAGTCGGCTTGAGATTCTCTCTTCTCCCTTTGCCCCTCCCCCTACTCATGCATACTCTCTCTCTCTCTAAAATAAATAAATCTTTAAAACAAAAGAAGTTAGGGAGATTTATGTATACATCTATAAAATAGAAATATAAGTATATACGTGTATGTCTATATATATATAAACATAGACTGTATATATTATTATATGTAAATATATATGTGTATACTATATATTACATATGTAGTTTGGATATATATCATATATACAGTACGTACATATACACATATATACACATACATGGATATAAAAAATCCATTTTCCAACACTTGGAAAAAAGAAAGTATGTCCTTTCCAGTGTCATACTACAATATTATTTCACAGGCCTACCCAAAAATCATTTAATTACCTAGGGGAATATACCTCCATTTGACCTCTTCCTTGCTATTGATTAGAGCTCAGCACTTTTACTAGTTAACATGTATGGTTTTTATCCAGTCCACATGCAAAAACAATCTTTGTCCAGCAGTAAAGATAATGCCTGAACTTATGCTTATATTGCCCTATAGGACACTACGCAGTTTTGTATCTTATCTAGCAACCTATTTCTAACATATCAATCTTATTCTAACCGTCTTTGTTCATTGTCTATAAATATCTAGTTCCTCTATTTTTCCTTGAATTAGTTTTGTCATATTATTGGTTCCCTCATTAATGAACTAAATACATTTTGACATAAATTCATGGTATTTTGTATGAAACTCCTTTTTTCAACTTTTAAAAAATTATGCTTTGACAGTATTCAGACTCTTGTATACTCTTCACCAACCCCCTTAACTTGCCTGCCATGTTGGCACTCTAAAAAGCTTCTCCAAACAGCTCCCCTGATGCTGTAAATTCCCATATAGGTTATTCACAGTTGAGTTGAATCCGTAATTCACCTTAGGTGAATGGTTAACCAGATTGTCCTGCTAGTCACTCATCAGAGCTCTGTGAGAATAAACCCAAGGAAGGGTATGTTTTGGAGAAGTAGCAAGAGTAGAGAGAAGCAAGGCAATGCTTAGGAGGAAGGAGAGGGGGTCACTTAGTAAAAGGGAGAGCAAATATGGTGGCCCTTAACACCTGAGGATGGAAGGGAGAAGCAGAGCACCTCGACTAAGGAGGAGGTGAGAGGCACAGGAGATATTACTGACTTCACAATTTGGGCCCAGAGCTAGCCTAGACCTGTTACATAAGGATGAATAAATGAAAGATGAATGAATGGGTAAAACAGATCTAAATCGTTAGAGACTGGATCAAACAGGCTATACTGATCTCATCTTCAAACATTTCTAACCTACTGGAGCTGCCTGACAGGCAGCTTCAGGAAGGATGCCTGCCTGCTTCCCCATATATGCTCCACTGGTATTCAGGACCCATGGCTGGACCCAAAGATCATTGACCCTGCCTCGTCCCTTGATTTATGACCTTGACAAAGTCATTTGTAGGCTGATTTGAAAGAACCTCAGCCTCAATTTGGAAATTCATCAACCTCTGGCCATTTTCCTACTTAATGGTCATATGCTATAATTTACCATGGAAAGTAACCCTTCTTCCTTCTTTACAATAGTAGGACTTGTTCTCTGTGACATTAGCCTCTGAGAGACTCAACTGAGCAAGCAAATTATAGGACTGAAGTCAGGGAGATGTCCCACTCCAGTCCCTGACATGGTCACACACTAAGCTGAAGTCAGCATTTTTCAGATAGTTCATCAGCAATGCTAGGAGACCTTTCCAGCAAGGTCGCTGTACCACTAAAGCAATCATGTGTGTGAGTGCCCCCAGCCAGGCTGAGCTAATTTAACATGAAGTAATCACAGATAAGAAAAAGCCACAGGAGTTATAAAAATACACACATCAGGTATCCCTGCTGAGGAGGAAAGGGAAGTTTACTGGAGGTGAAGGGAGTGTACCACAATGATAAGAAAAGTGAAGTCAAGAATGAAATGAAGATTTTATGAGAAGTTGAGATAAATAATAGAACAACTCTTTTTCAACTATAAACAGAATAAGAGGCCAACTAAGGACTCAGCAGGGTTTGCCAAGATTGGAAGGAAGGCCACTTGTCAGAGGAGTTAGACATTACAGAAAAGATGGATGAATGTGTCTTTTCAGCACTCTCCAGGGAGGAAAATTCACGGGGAGCCAAGGCAGAGAGTTTTCCTTTAAGGAAGAAAATATAGTAGTGACAACCACTGGGGCAAGGACATCTCCAAGGTAGAGAGAGTCTGGAAGTCCATTTGGAAATGCTCAAGTTAGAAATCCCTGATGCTCCTGAAGAGGAAGAGAAACAGTTATGAGCACAAGCCCAGTGAGAGAGGCTTAGTTTTCCATATTTTCAGAGTCTCAATTCCAGAAATCCAGAGATCAGGCATTCCCTCTCTCAGCAAACCTCAGACATGGTGCTAGGACCTCACTGCTTGAGCTGAAAGTCAAGGCTAGGCATGAACCCCCTTCCTTACTGCCAAATTTCATCACTCCTCTCTCCATTTCCTGCTCATTCTGGGGGTAGAGCTGATACGAACACTTGGTCTTAGACCAAGGAGAACTAGTAAGGGAGCTAGAAATAACAACTTTACCAAAAGCTTGTGCTCTCAACTTCTACACCCAGGTTGGTACCAAACAGCAATTTCCAGCTTTTTCTGGCCCTATTAGGCCCCGATGGCCTATTTCAGTGACTGGTATTAAGAAGACTCATTAGGAAAAGATCATTTTATATCTCTATCTCACGCCAGATAAAAAAAATAATTCCAGGTAGACTTTTTTAAACCATAAAGATATTAGAAGAAAATATGAGCTAATGTTGGCGACCATTCTTCTACTTATGAGCCAAGTGTTAGGAAGAATGAAGCAATAGATGTGTTGTAGATGCCGTTGGTAACTGGTCTGAGTCCCCTGCGATCTTTTCTCTCTCTCTTTTTTTTTTAAAGATTTTATTTATTTGAGAGAGAGAGAATGAGAGATAGAGAGCATGAGAGGGAAGAGGGTCAGAGGGTCAGAGAGTCAGAGGGAGAAGCAGACTCCCCACTGAGCAGGGAGCCCGACGCAGGACTCGATCACAGGACTCCAGGATCATGACCTGAGCCGAAGGCAGTCACCCAACCAACTGAGCCACCCAGGCGCCCCGATCTTTTTTCTCTTGGGAGTGCCATAGCCTAGCTTCTGCAGGTGCTGCTACAATAGATTCTCGGAAGAATTGTCCTTTGTCAATTTAAGGCAAAGTTGCTGTGAGCTTCTTTCCTCACCTTCTTGAAGCTGAGGTTGGACCTAACCCAAAACTATATCCTTGCTTCTTCCCCATCCCATCCTCATTCCCTCCATTCATTTACACTTTTCTCCCAAGAGTATTTCTCCAACAAATCATTTGTAGACAAATCTCCATTTCAGCCTCTGTTTCTAGGTACCTCAACTATGGTACCTGATATAACTAAATAAAAATGTAAGCAAATGTTATGTGGAAAGATATCATGAATAAACTTGAAAAGATATTTTACAGATGTATACATATATGTATGTAGATATATATCTATGTTATGGGTGTAATTGTGTGCCCCAAAATTTATATATTGAAGTTCTAATGCCCAGTATCTAAGAATGTGACTGTATTTGAAGATAAGGTCTTAAGAGAGGTGATTAGTTTAAAATGAGGTCATTAGAGTGGGCTCTAATCCAATTTGACTCATCTCCTTATAGAAAGGAATTGGACACACAGAGAGACACCAGGGGCATAATTGCACATTGGGAGGACCATCTAAAGACACAGTGAAAAGGCAGCTGTCTAGGAAAAACTCTGTGTTTTTCCTTTACTCACACACAAAATACTTCTGACACCAGATGTGTAGGTTTTTTTTTCCCCTACCCTCAACCTCAGATTGCAAGTAGTTGGTCCCCAGGTTGCCCACAACTTCTGTTGACTTGGCTACAAATTAGAGGTTCCCACTACACCCTCCTTTAATTCGGTTGTTTGCTAGAACAGCTCACAGAACTCAGAAAAACACTTACATTTACTATTTTATTATACACTAAAAGATACGATAAAAGATATAGATGAACGGTCAGTTGAAGAGATACATAGGGCAATGCTTAAAGAGTCCCAAGTTCAGGGGCTTCTGTCCCTGTGGAGTTGGGGGTACCCCATCCTCCTAGTGCATTGATATGTTCACCATCCTAGAAGCTCTTCAAATTCTCTACTTTTGGAGTGTTTATGGAGTCTTCATCATGTAGATATAAGCAATCAATAAGTCAGTTTCCAGCCCCTCTCTCCTTCTCAGAGGATGGAAGTAGAGCTGAAATTTCCAAGCTTCTAATCATGATTTGCTGATCAACCCTCATCCTGAAACTGTCCAGGAACCCATCAAGAGTCATTTCATTATAACAGAAGATACTCTTATCACCCAGGAAATTCCAAGGGATATAGGGACTTGTGCCAGGAACCAGGGTCAAAGACCAAATGTTAGAACAAAAGATGTTCCTAGTGCTCTTATCACTTAGGAAACTACAAGGGGTTTAGGAGCTCTGTGTCAGAAACCAGGGGCCAAAATATGGGGGATGGGGGTTCCTATTATTTCACAGAGGCCATCTACAAGCCAAAGAGAGAGAGGCTTCAGGAAAAAAACAAACCTATAGATATCTTGACCTTGGACTTTGAGCCTCCAGAACTGTGAGAAAATACATTTCTGTTGCTCAAGCCCCCCAGACTGTGGTATTTAATTATGGGAGCCCTAGAAAACTAATCCAATCTATATAGAGACATATAGATATCTTTGTCTCTCTCATACACATATACAAAAAACATTCCAAAACATAATCAAAATATAAAAAAAGAGGGGTGGCTGGCTAGCTGCGTCAGTATAAGATGCGAATCTTGATCTCAGGGTCATGAGGTCAAGCCCCACATTGGGCATAGAGATTAGTTAAAAAAATAAATAAATAAAATAAAACTTAAATATATACAAAGAGCATTCAAGAAAAAAATAGGAAAATGGACAAAGGACTTAAATGGACAACTCACAAAAAATAAACCAAATGCCAATAAATATCTGAGAAGATGTTCAGCCTCATTATGTCCTCATTTTGGGCTGCATCCTTTATACTAAGTCCAAGCCCGGTCTCTCTACCAGTCCTCTGCATGTTGTTGCCCATTCCAGCTCTCCCCCATTATTATACCCACACCAAGTGCCTGGACAGTTCTGTGCACAGGTTCGTACTTAATAACCATTGGTGACAATTTAATAGTGTTCTGAGGTAGAGAAAAAAACTAGTTTTAAGATAATTCAATTCAAGAAGCTATCATAACGGTCCTAAAAAAATTCACAGACAGGAAGGATAACCAGCTCTAGTAAGTAAAAAAGAAAACTGTTTATCACAAGTCATGAAAGAAATGCAAATCAAAAGACAATGAGATTACTTTTTGCAAGTTTCCATAATATACATAACCAAAAGCTAGAAAGCCTTGCTACTTGGAGTTCAGTAAAATGTATTTTTAGTTTGTTGGTGGCATTATCAGTTGGTAAATACAATTTGGCAAAGCATCTCTTTTCCTAAACTCTAAAGAATAAGTCAAACTATGGAAAACATCATATGAAAGACAATGTTTATAAACATGGTATTTATGATAATCAAAAATTAGAAATACTTCCAAATGTCCAGTATTAAAGGAATTGTCATAGCAACTACAGCACAGTCACTCAAGGGAATAATATAGAGACATCAAAAAGGACAAATATTAAGACAAGATATCAATACAAAGTTAATATAAATGCCTATGTTAGGGTATAATATTACATATGCATAATGACTATAGTTATGCAAACACATGCAAACAAAGAAAAACTAGAAAGAATTCAGAAAAGAATCTCAATTTTAAGAGTTACTTTTCTCTTCCTTTTTCTCTATTTCAAATTTTTAACATTTTTGTAGTGTACGTTTCTTAAAACACTAAAATTTTATTAGGATAAACACATCATTCATATGTGTATAGATGAGTGAAGCAGACAATGCCTGCAATTTTAAAAAGGTTATTCCCAACATAGGAATCCCAAAATAAAGACTTTGATATTTATTAAAAAAATAGACTTTGATATTTATAATAACATCTGACACTTCCTGAAATCTTACTCTGTGTCAGCACTGTGCTCAGTGCATTACAAGAACTATCCCATGTAGCACTGCAACAATCAAGTGAAGTAGATATGATTGTCTTCTCATCTAATGGATGAGAACATGGGGAACTAGAGAGGTGAAGTAACCCCTCCAGGTTCATACAGTTTGCAAGTAGTTGTCACAAAGATGGCTAGCTGCCCCCCCAAGATGCATGCTTTCTCTTCTGTGAGGGAAAATCATGGCTGGGAAGTAGCTTTGAACCCAGGACTATTCCCCAGGACCCTCACCCCCCCACCCCCAACTTTGCATCCAGGTGGAGCCATCCTACTAGAAGGCATACAACACATCCTGTGACCACACAATTTGTCCACAGGGCAAACGCTGATCTATTAAGGAGGATCAGATCTACAAATTAGTCAAAAGTCTGAAACTAAAGGTGAGTGATTAGCAGAAATAATTGCCCTTTTAATTTAAAAAATGGTGTTAAAATATACCAATATCATTTGTCACCAATTCAACTGCCAACATTTGAAAAGGACTGAACAGAGTGCCAGGAAATGGGCCATTTCCTACCCTGCTGGTGAAGAGTAAGTTGATGCTCCCTTTCTGTGGCAGTTTATCAACATGTATTGCGAGTCCAAAAACTTCAGAATTCTGTAAAATCCTTGACCTAGGAATTGGGGAAGCTATCCTAATGAAATAAGAGATATGAGTACAGATATATAGCAAAAGTATTGTCAATGTCAGAAATTTTTATAAGACTAGTGGAAACCACATAAATAGTTATAGGGAAGTGGACAAATTCTACTTTGGCTACACAGTGAGTTACTAGGCAGCTATTTTAAATTACATTCCAAAAGAATATTTAACAGCATGGAATGATCATGATACATTATACAGTGTGATTCCATTCTTACTGTGTTTTAAAAACACATCTATATCAGGCATGAATTTTCTGCTTCCATACAGGTGCAAGAACTATCACATTTCCTTATTTCCCTAAATGGAATGAAATCTGGCTAAGAGTCCCATCCTGCCAGGCTGAAAGGAAGAACTGTGTCAGGGACTGTTGCCCACCCTCAAACACACACACACACACACACACACACACACACACACACAC